TATCCCCAAAATGGGGCTTTGGAGATCTGGTGGACATTGAATTTGGAGCATCGTACTTGATACATTTTTGAGATTACCCTGGAGCCTGCAGTTTGATTGGTCCTCTTTTTGGCTCTCATAGGAATTGTCAGCTGTTCTTTGTAAAATTCGAGCCATATAGTCCTCTTTGGACGTGGGGGAAATTTGTTGTTTCCCTTCTGCAAGATCTGGGTACTCTTCGGTCCTCTACCGCTCTTCTGTGCGTGCTTTTGGAAATGATGATACACTGTCAGTTGTCTTCAGGAAATACATGCATCCTTTTGCTTTTAAATGATTAAGGTCTACCAAATGGACGTCGTTCACATTTGCGACTGATGAAGATTATCCGAAACACGTCTGTGTGGAATGTGTTTCTTCAGTCCTCCATTACTCTTCTGTGCTTCCTTTTGAAAATGATGGTCCACTTTCAGAGGTCTTCAGGAAATACATACACTTTTTGCCCTTAAATGATTGGGTTCTGCCGCATGTACTTCCCCCACATTCGCTCCTGATTTTCTGAAACGTGTTGAGTTGATATGTGGAATGTGTTTCTTCTCATCTTGTAGTCATGTGGAAAACATGTGAACCCTGTGTTTTAGTACAGGATGTGGTTCTTTATAAAACAAGCTTTGTTTTCATGACAATCTTTTTTATATTGTGCCAAGATCTATATAGTGAAAAGTATACCTTATGCCGCTGCTCCAAGCTATGGATGGAATGAGAAGGGTCACCCCACCGGCAAGTGAGAAGAGGGAAGCATGCATCCGAGAGATTCCAGTGTCAGCCAATACAAGTGAAGGGATGGACGCTGCGCAACTGACCCCAGGAGTCCAGTGTTAAGGAATGGCCTCAGCTGCCATTCTGGCCACATCCCAGAGGGCATGGCCAGAACGGCGGCTGAGGCCATTCCTCAGCATTGGACTCCTGGGGTCAGTTGAGCAGCGTCATCCCTTCACTTGTATTCACCAAGATCTGCGTATATGCCTGTTAAGTTCCTTTGCTACAAGTACTGGTGCTTGTTCCCCAAAATGAATGAAGCAGAAGCAGGGAGATTATTGCACTGCAAGTCCTCAGGTACAGCTTCTTTTCCAGCAAGGAGAACAATGAGCAGAATAATTATGAAAGCACCAAATTTCATTCCTAATCTGCTGAAACTAGCAGTGCCATAGATCAGCCTTTTCTAACGGGGGTTGGGTTACATATGGGTTCGTCATGGGTGCCGTCGGATTACTTTTTTTTTTTTTTTTTCTCGAAGACTTTATGGACCAGCATTGTATTCATTGTCCCCACTAAGCAGAACAGACTTTGGTGCAGATGTGGTCGTTTAGGATCCCATAAATAGAAAAAATCTTCTGCCTTACATTTTTCTTGGCTGGGGTACTTCAAGATTTTGCCTACTTTTTAAAGGGTTCATCAGGGTTGCTGTGGGATCACAGATGACTTTTTGCCTTCTAAAACTCATTGCATTCACTATCCCCACTAAACCGTGCAGACTTGAGCATAGGCATGGTCATTTACAGTGAGGCGGTTCATTTTTTTTGCGCACTACACTATGGGCTCATAGAAGGAGAAATGATCATTGCAATGACTCTTAAACACCCTTCCTCAACCTTTTCAACACAAAGGAGTCTTTTGAAATGACTTTCCGGTCTCCGGTCTCTGCTAAAAATGACTGTCTACAACTCATTAGGCATTAGTACAGCAATGGGCAAACTACGGCCTGGCGGACCTTTTAATCCGGCCCGCGGAGCGTGATACATTGGCTGTCAGGATGTGTGTAGGCGTGGCAGCGTGACGAACGTGAGGGGAGCTAGGCTCCTCTCACAGTCCGCCCTGAAGACCGGAACGGCGCGGGAACACGGCGAGAGGAACGTGCGGAGCAAAGGTAAGTAAATTGACACAGGGGAATATGGGGAATGAATTACTATAGGGGGGGATGAATTACTATATGGGGGATGAATTACTATGGGGGATGAATTACTATGGGGGATGAATTACTATATGGGGGATGAATTACTATATGGGGGATGAATTACTATATGGGGGATGAATTACTATATGGGGGATGAATTACTATGGGGGATGAATTACTATATGGGGGATGAATTACTATATGGGGGATGAATTACTATATGGGGGATGAATTACTATGGGGGATTAATTACTATGCTTACTATGGGGGAATATTACTATACTTAACTATGGATGACACATACACATCATTCATCTACTCTTGGTTCGGCCCCTGGGTCCAATATATGAACCCATTGCGGCCCTCAAGTCAAAAAGTTTGCCCACCCCTGCATTAGTATGATGGTTGTTGGAAATATGTTCCTCTCACTTGTGGTCATTAAGGAGAATTACCCCATTACAGATGGCTAAAAAGATCCATGGTGTCAGTGAGAGTTTATCTGAGAGGCAGAAATTGCTCAAGGAACCCCTAACAACCTCAGGAGGGACCCTAGGGTTCCATGGAAAAATCCCTGGTCTAGAGTAGCAGGAGAATGCCTCAGATAGTGTAAGCTCCCTGCCTCTGGCATACAATATTATTATTATTATTATAATATCTGGGAAGTGCCTGTGGTATTCTTGGATTTACATCATGGGAGCCTATAGGTAGAGAAAATCTTCCGTCCATTTTTAGACTGGGGTACATCAAGATTTTGCATACTTTTTTTTAAGACAGGCATGATAGGAAAAAGGTTCAGAAACTACCATGGATCTCTTACACTTCAGATTTCCAACTACGAGGTTCAAGGTATAGAAAGTGCACTACTACTTTTTAGGAGGCATTCAAGGATCCCAAATATCTGTCAGGGTACTGATTTGGCAAAGTTAATATTTCAAGATGTATGCTATAAGATAGCAAGTTTTCACACACGTTGCCTCCCTAGCGGTCTGATTATGTCCATATTTCTGTGCTCAAAGCGGTACATTTTTTTGCACGGAAATATGTATTTTTTTTATTGTAGGCCTGTAATTCTTAGGAATAACTCACTGAAATCTGTCCGAACAAGAGTCTAGTAAACATCCCGGGGAGGATAAAACTTGAAACACGAAATCATAAATTATAATTTAATAAATAATCATAAAAAATAATAGTATAAATAATAAATTTAATTCAATAATATAATCAAACCAAAAACACTGAAATGTGAAATATAGCGCCAAGTTCGCACATCGCTGAGCTCAGTCGCAGAATCGTTTTCAGTGTCTGATGAGGAATTTCCCCCACCAATCATTATCACTCAATTCTGCAAGTGGTTCTGATTTACTATCGCTGTTCTCTAGCCGGTCTAAAACCGCGTCTGACCTAAAGGGACGCTTTTTGGACGCCATGGACGTTTTCTCAGTTTCCCGGCAGAAAGAACAGTAAAAAATGCAGGCAGGGCGCCAGACAAAGCACTCGGGACACAATGTATGTGAAATGGTTTGATACAGGAATGTTATACTATGTGATTTTAGTGTATTTAGTGAATGTCACTTTTTACAACTTTCAAATTTCCCGCCAGTTCCGTCCCCCGTACGTCCCGACGTCGCAGGGAATGGAACCCGGAAGACAGATGCCGGCATCGGCCGGAGGACATTGCCGGGGACACTGCAGGGGGGACATCGCGGGAGCGCAGGACAAGGTAAGTGCAGAAGAGATCCCGGAGCAACGCTGCAGTGTATTCCCGAGTGTAGCTCGGGGGGGTTACCGCTTGTGGTGCTGAAACTTCACCCCGAGCTACACTCGGGAATACCGCCAGGGGGGTTAACTATATAGCTGGCAAATCTGGTTGTATGGTGGAGCCATTTCAGCAATATGGTAACCTTGCAAAAAGCTTGATCGGTAAGAAGAAGCTGCATTCAGCCCTACGCTTCTCAAACACGCTACATCCATTGAGAAAATCGGATGTATAACCGCTCCAACGAGGACTTCTAAACGATGGAGCAATTATGAAGTCTGCACCTTCCACATGGACATTGCCGCAGTTTCAATTAGTAATCATTCGGGGAGATGGCAGGATGAAGTCCTCTCTTTGCCTTTCAGCACCGTCCTGCTGGCCGCGAGTATCTCTGATGAAGGACACATCTGTTTCCTTTACGTGGCGGGGAGCGGAGGATGTGCTGCGTCAGGGACGAGCGAGCCCTTGAAGCTGTGATTATCAAGCTAGAGTCCAACTGATCTCTTTTATTGTGTCCCGCGGATTCTGCAATGTCTGATTGGGCGTTCTCTTTAACGCATCGCGTAATGGACTTGCGCCACACTGAGCTGTAGACTATCCAGCCGCTCGGCTGAATATTTCACTTCTCTCACAACCCGTATCATTACCTACAAACATGTTTGGAACCTGCAGCCTTGATTTTTTTTGCAATTACTGTAATTTGACAGCAGAAAGTCCCAATTCCGAAAATAATCCCCAGCCTGCTCGGTGTTGGTCTGCAGCCTCGCGTGTTTGTTTCGGAGCTCCGGGTGCGTCATTTGTCTGTATTGTTTGGGCCTGCGGTTCCTGGAAATGAAAACGGAGGGGAAATGGCCGTCCGCAGTCAGAGCTTTATTACGTAATGATAAGCTCCACAATCTTCTTGTTTCCATAAAACTTTTTGTCCCAAGTTTTTCTTTATTCCTAGTTGTGGTTATTGCGAGAGGCCGTGCCGTGTGCAGCGATGGTGCAAAACTGCTGCTTTACCGACGTCAAATCTGTGAACAAAGAATTCCAGAGAGTCGTCCTTACAGCATTTTGTGTAATGCTTTCACCTTATTAACCACTTATTAAACACTTCCCACCCACCCCTTCCAGTCCGGACACTCCCCCCCCCTTCCAGTCCGGACACTTCCCCCCCCCCCCCCTTCCAGTCCGGACACTTCCCCCCCCCCCCCTTCCAGTCCGGACACTTCCCCCCCCCCCTTCCAGTCCGGACACCCCCCCCCCCCCCCCCCTTCCAGTCCGGACACTTCCCCCCCCCCCCTTCCAGTCCAGACACTTTCCCCCCCTTCCTGTCCAGACACTTTCCCCCCCTTCCTGTCCAGACACTTTCCCCCCCTTCCAGTCCGGACGCTTCCCCCCCCCTTCCAGTCCGGACGCTTTTTTTTCCCCCCCTTCCAGTCCGGACGCTTTTCCCCCCCCCTTCCAGTCCGGACGCTTTTCCCCCCCCTTCCAGTCCGGACGCTTTTCCCCCCCTTCCAGTCCGGACGCTTTCCCCCCCCTTCCAGTCCGGACGCTTTCCCCCCCCTTCCAGTCCGAACACTTTCCCCCCCTTCCAGTCCGGACGCTTCCCCCCCCTTCCAGTCCGGACGCTTCCCCCCCCCTTCCCCCCCCCAGTCCGGACGCTTTTCCCCCCCTTCCAGTCCGGACGCTTTTCCCCCCCTTCCAGTCCGGACGCTTTTCCCCCCCTTCCAGTCCGGACGCTTTTCCCCCCCTTCCAGTCCGGACGCTTTTCCCCCCCTTCCAGTCCGGACGCTTTTCCCCCCCTTCCAGTCCGGACGCTTTTCCCCCCCTTCCAGTCCGGACGCTTTTCCCCCCCTTCCAGTCCGGACGCTTTTTTTTCCCCCCCTTCCAGTCCGGACGCTTTTCCCCCCCTTCCAGTCCGGACGCTTTTCCCCCCCTTCCAGTCCGGACGCTTTTCCCCCCCTTCCAGTCCGGACGCTTTTCCCCCCCTTCCAGTCCGGACGCTTTTCGTCTCCCCCCCCCCCTTCCAGTCCGGACGCTTTTCCCCCCCGCCTTCCCAGTCCGGACGCTTTCCCCCCCCCCCCCGCCTTCCAGTCCGGACGCTTCCCCCCCCCCCCCCGCCTTCCAGTCCGGACGCTTCCCCCCCCCCCCCTTCCAGTCCGGACGCTTCCCCCCCCCCCCTTCCAGTCCGGACGCTTTTCCCCCCCTTCCAGTCCGGACGCTTTTCCCCCCCTTCCAGTCCGGACGCTTTTCCCCCCCTTCCAGTCCGGACGCTTTTCCCCCCCTTCCAGTCCGGACGCTTTTCCCCCCCTTCCAGTCCGGACGCTTTTCCCCCCCGCCTTCCAGTCCGGACGCTTCCCCCCCCCCCCCCGCCTTCCAGTCCGGACGCTTCCCCCCCCCCCCGCCTTCCAGTCCGGACGCTTCCCCCCCCCCCCCTTCCAGTCCGGACGCTTCCCCCCCCCCCCCTTCCAGTCCGGACGCTTCCCCCCCCCCCCCTTCCAGTCCGGACGCTTTTCCCCCCCTTCCAGTCCGGACGCTTTTCCCCCCCTTCCAGTCCGGACGCTTTTCCCCCCCTTCCAGTCCGGACGCTTTTCCCCCCCTTCCAGTCCGGACGCTTTTTCCCCCCCTTCCAGTCCGGACGCTTTTCCCCCCCTTCCAGTCCGGACGCTTTTCCCCCCCTTCCAGTCCGGACGCTTTTCCCCCCCTTCCAGTCCGGACGCTTTTCCCCCCCCCTTCCAGTCCGGACGCTTTCCCCCCCCCCTTCTAGTCCGGACGCTTTTTCCCCCCCTTCCAGTCCGGACACTTTCCCCCCCTTCCTGTCCAGGCCAATTTTCAGCTTTCAGCGCTATCGCACTTTGAATGACAATTGCGCGGTCATGCCACACTGTACCCATATGAATTTTTTATAATTGTTTTGAGACAGATAAAGCTTTATTTTGGTGGTATTTATTCACCGCTGGGATTTTTATTTTTTTGCTATGTAAATGAAAAAGTCCAAAAATTTTGAAAAAAAAGTGTTTTTCTTATAAAATAATAATAAATAATTTTGCATCATAAATCTTGGCCAAACTATATTTCATTATCTTTTTAGTAAAAAAAAAATAACTCAAATTAGTTTATAACCAAAATTATAATTTTTAAACATTTTTTTTTTTTTCACATTTTTATTTTATTTTTTTATATATTTTTTTTTTTTTTTTTACATACTGTCACCCTAGCAGTACAGTGTCACCATGGTGACACTGTACTAGTGGGGGGGTGATGATTTTTTTTTTTTCTACACTGATTGCTTTTACACCCATAAAGGCTGTAAAAGCAATCGTTTCTCTTTCTCTCTGGCTGCATTCTTGCAGCCATTGAGAACTACTGTGTGAGCTGTGATTGGTCACAGCTTGTCACATGGTACAAGGCTGTTGTGAATAGCCCTGTACTATGTGATCTCTGTGATCATTCACAGATTTCACACGTAGTAAGCAATGATGTCAGAAGTGACATCTTGCTTACTACTCTTCATGTGATCATTGATTGGCCAATCAGTGATCACATGATCAGGACCTCGCACAGAGGTCCCGTACGAAGATCGGTATTCCACTGTGCCTGGAGGACACAGTGGGAACTGGATTGCGGTGCTGCGCGCTCCCAGGGAGCGCACACAAGCAGGGGGCGGGGAGGCCATTTATAAACGGCCACCTGCACTGCCACCGTCCAGCCGTTTATATACAACAGCCGGACAGGAGGTGGTTAAATTGGCCTTGAACACTGAAAGCTGTGGCCAAAAATGACAGGCAGAGGGCAACTGACAAAGCACCAGCATTGCCTGTAGATGGTGATCTTTTCTCCATTACTGACTTACCATGCCCTTGATCTACTCCAGGGGTGTCAAACTCCATTTCATCACAGATGACATCAGCATTATGGTTGCCCATGAAAGGGGGCCAGTTGTATCTTTTAGCAGATGTCCAGAGCATCCCCCCAGTTCATCAGATGTCAAAAGTCCCTCACCCTGCCTTACATCACAGTGCACCCCCCTTACCTTGTGCTGCTGCCAGGAAGATGCTGGAGCGGAGGTCTGGAGGAGGGCTGGAGTCAGCTGCCGGAGTCTGCTGAATGCTGAGACCAGGGGAGGTGGAGACGAGGGGGTGCTGCGGCTGTACAGAGAGGCACAGGAGCTGTATCAGTTCTGTCGTCCTCTCTGCTGCCGACAGCTGAGACAAAGTGGGGACAGAGATGAGGGGGTGCCGCAGCTGTAAGAGAGGTGCGCAAGGGCCATATGAAATGGCCTGGCAGACCAGATTCAGCCCGAAGACCTTGTGTTTGACAAGTATTCTGACCATCTTGGTAGAGAAGTGGGGCTTTGCTTGCTGTCTCATGTCAGTTTCCCCCTGATGACTGATGGGGTAACGATGAAACAGCAGTGAAGGTGCTGGAAGCACAGGATGGATTAAACAGCAGCAGGGAGATCCATGCACTGCAGGTCCTCTGGTACAGCTTTCTCTCCATCAGGGAGAAAAGTGAGCAGCCAACATACTGACTATAGTGTAAAATTTGAGTATAAATAATTAAATTCTGGGGGACAAGGAGGGTTTTGGACAGGGATTGGCAGAATCATTTATAAAGGGTCTTTATAAATCCAAAAATGGATGTTTAGAGTTTATAAAATGGAAATGGATCAAGGTTCTTGTTGATGAATATGGGCTCCCTCATAGGAAGCCACTTGATATAGGGGCACTTGGCAGGGGAGAGGAGCCCAGAGGACAAAAGAAGAGAAGGATTGGGGCTGCTTTGTGCCACATCATTACACAGAGCAGGTAGCTATGACGTGTGTTACTTTAATTTAAAAAAAAAAATGATCCTTTACAAATACTTGAACTGCCTGATTTTACTGCTGTATGTGTGAATGAAGCCTTACTGCTGTTCAGACACTTCCATTCATGTCAATGCAAGCCCACCACAAATGCCCCTATGGCATTTACAGCATGTTTTCAGATGCGTTTTTAGAAAGCATTAGTTGCCAGGATGAATCGATTCACCAGAAAACCAACGGAGAAATCCTCTAGAACAGTGGTCTCCAAACTGCGGCCCAGTGAGCCGGATCCGGCCCTTTGCTTGCTTTTATCCGGCCCTTGGGGCACTATTTCATCCACTAATACCAACAATGAGGCATAATTCCCCCCACTGACACCAAACTGAGGGGCACAATTCCTTCCAATGACAACGACGATGGGGCACAATTCCTCCCAATGACACCAACTATTGGCCACAATTCCTCCCAATGACACCAACTATTGGCCACAATTCCTCCCAATGACACCAACTATTGGCCACAATTTCTCCCAATGACACAAACTATGGGCCACAATTCCTCTCAATAACACCAACAACGGAGCACAGTTCCTCCCACTGACGCAAACAATGGGTCACAATTCCTCCCAATGACACCAACTGTGGGCCACAATTCCTCTCAATAACAACGATGGGGCACAGTTCCTCCCACTGACGCAAACAATGGGTCACAATTCCTCCCAATGACACCAACTAGTGGCCACAATTCCTTTCAATAACACCAATGACGGAGCACAGTTCCTCCCACTGACGCAAACAATGGATCACAATTCCTCCCAATGACACCAACTATGGGCCACGATTCCTCTCAATAACACCAACAATGGGGCACAGTTCCTCCCAGTTACACAAACAATGGGTCACAATTCCTCCCAATGACACCAACTATGGGCCACAATTCCTCTCAATAACACCAATGACGCACAGTTCCTCCCACTGATGCAAACAAGGGGTCACAATTTCTCCCACTGGCACCAAAAATGGAGCACTATCCCTGCCACCTTCACCAAAGATGGGGCATTGTCTATTCCCACTGACGTCGGGACGTTTTTTCTACTCCCAATGGCTACAGTTCGTTTCCCCCCCCCCTAAAGTCTGAAGGACAGTAAACTGGCCCTTTGTTTAGAAAGTTTGGAGACCCCTGCTCTAGAACATTTCATTTGATGCAAACACGTAAATATTGCTTCTTAATGCAGTAGGCGCGTTGATGGACGTCTATGGTGCCAAAAATTATATCTCAAAGCACGTCCAAACGCTCCCTTAGTCAGCGGGTAAATCCTCGAGCTGCTCTCGGTGGCAATGTAGTCATCATCAGGTTGGATATACACACACCGCCGGTATACAGGAGGCTGACCGGAGGGGAAAATGTCATCCAGTAACATTTACCGCCTCCTGGCTGAGCGCCATTCCCCGTGGCATCTCCTCTCCCGCCGCTTTCTGCTGATTCCAAACCCTTATTTCCCATTGACAGTTCTCCTGCGTGAAATCTCTGCTATTTTCAGGATACCTCTGTTTTTATATTTGACATCCGATTTTTTTTTTTTTCCTTCTCTCTGCT